TGTCTCTGATTATATTTTGCTTGCTTACTTGTTTTGTTGATAAGGTTCCACTTAAAGGTGAGATCATATGGTATTTGTGTTTCATAACCTGGCTTATTTCACTTAGCATAATGTTCTCCAGATCCATCCATGCTGTAGTGAAGGGTAGGAGCTCCTTCTGTCTTTCTGCTGCATAGTATTCTGTTGTGTAAATGTACCATAGTTTTTTGATCCACTCATTTACTGATGGGCACTTAGGTTGCTTCCAACACTTGAATATTATAAATTGTGATGCTATGAACATTGGGGAACATAGGTTCCTTTGAATTGATATTTTAAGATTCTTAGGGCATAATCCCAGAAGTGGAAATGCTGGGTCAAAAGGCAGTTCCATTTTTAGTTTTCTGAGGAAATTCCAGGCTCTTTTCCACAGTGGCCACACCAGTCTGCATTCCCACCAACAATGTACTAGGTTTTCCTTTCCTCTACAACCTTGCCAGCACTTATTGTTTGTTGATTTGTTTATGATGGCCATTCTGACCAGGATGAAGTGGTATCTCATTGTGGTTTTAATTTACATCTCTCTGATGGCTAGTGATGGTGAGCATCCTTTCATATATCTATAGGCTGTCTGTATATCCTTCTTGGAGAAATTTCTGTTCAGGTCCTTTGCCCATTTTTAATTGGGTTGTCTCCCTGGAGTAGAGTTGTGTGGATTCTTTATATATTATGGAGATCAAACCCTTGTCTGAGGTATCATTTGCAAATATATTTTCCCATATGGTTGGTTCCCTTTTCATTTTGCTGATGTTTTCTTTAGCTGTGCAGAAGCTTTTTATTTTGATGAAGTCCCATTTGTTTATTCTTTCCTTTATATCCCTTGCTCTAGGAGGCATATCATGGAAAATATTACTGCTTGGAATATCTGAGATTTTCCTGTCTATGTTCTCCTCTAAAATTTTTATGGTGTTGTGACTTATATTTAGGTTTTCCATTTATCTTGAATTTATTTTCATGTATGGTGTGAGTTGGTGGTTGAGTTTCTTTCTTTTCTTTTTTTTTTTTTTTTTTTTTTGCTTGTGGCTGTACAGATCTCCTACCACCATTTGTTGAAGAAACTATTTTTACTCCATTTTATGTTTCCACTCCCTTTGTCAAATATTAATTGACCGCAGAGACTTGGGTTTATTTCTGGGGTCTCTATTCTGTTCCATTGGAGATCACTGATTATTTCATTATACGCCTATCATGAAATGGGGTAACAATAATGATTTTTATAGTCTTAGGAGAAGAATACACTCCCACAGTAGTTATGGTCAAATAATTAAGGTTTTATCCCTATTCTAGTAATATCAATAAAGCATACAAAGATGCTTTAATACAAAGATACAAAGGCTATGCAAAGATAAGGTATAGCCTAAAATAAAGAAATTATCTGAGTGATAGCATATAGATTTACAAATAACATAGATACCTTAGAATCTTACTTCTTTTAAATATCTGTTTAACTTATAAAATTATCTTGTAAATTTGTGTTTTATTGGAGTTTTATGATTTGTGTCAACTCCTGAGCTCTTTTTAAAATATTTTATTATTTATGTTATTACAGTTGTCCCACTTTTACCCCTTTGCCCCCCTCCATCCAGCCTTCCCACATTTCCATAAACAGTCCCCTCACTGTTGTTTATGTCCATGGGTCCTTCATATAAGTTCTTTGACTAATCCCTTCACCTTCTTTGAATCAGTCCCCACCTCCTTTCTTCCCTCTTACAGCTGTCAGTCTGCTCCATGTTTCTTTGCCTCTGTTTCTATTTTTCTCATTAGTTTATTTTGTTCATTAGATTTCTCTTATAAGTGAGATCATATGGTATTTGTTTTTCTCTGACTGGCTTATTTCACTTAGCATAATATTATCCAGTTCCATCCATGCTTTCACAAAAGGTAGGCCTTCCTCCTCTCCTTCTGCTGTGTAGAATTCCACTGTATATATTTACCACATTTTTTTTTTTATCCACTCACCTACTGATGGCACTTAGGTTGTTTCCAGGCTATTGTAAATAGTGTTGCTATGAACATTGGGGTGCATAAATTCTTTTGAATTGGTGTTTCTAGATTCTTCAGGTATATCACCAACAGTGGAATGTCTGGGTCAAAAGGCAGTTCCATTTTTCTCTTATGAGGAAATTCCATACTGTTTTCCACAGTGGCTGCATCAGCCTGCATTTCCCCCAACAGTGTACTAGGGTTCCCTTTTCTTTGCATCATAGCCAGAATTTGTTGTTTGTAGATATTTTAATGATGGCCATCCTGACTGTTGTGAGGTGATAGTTCATATGGCTTTAATTTGCATCTCTCTGATGGCTAGTGATATTGAGCATCTTTTCATATGTCTATGGGCCCTCTGTATGTCCTCCCTAGAGAAGTGTTTATTCAGGTCCTTTGCCCATTTTTAAATTAGATTATTTGTCTTCCTGGTATTGAGTCATATAAGTTCTTTAAAAATTTCTGAGATTAAACACTTGTCCAATGTATCATTGGCAAATATGTTTTCCCATATAGTTGGTTCTTTTTTCATTTTGATGATACCTTCTTTAACTCTGCAGAAGCTTTTTAATTTGATGTAGTTCCATTTGTTTATTTTTTTTCTTTATTTCCCTTGCCCTAGGTAATAGATTGGCAAAAATATTGCTATGTGAGATATCCAAAATTTTACTGCCTATGTTTTCCTGTAAGATTTTTATGGTATCATGACTTTTTATAGCTTTAACAACTTCAGAATAATAAGGTTGTCTGGCTGTCAAAAAGATGTGTTGAAAAAAAGAGTTTTGTAATAAGGGACTTCAGTCCTAGGAAAGCCTGTATGTTTGTGGCTCCTGCATGCACAGTTCACTTCCTGGTTCTGTGCTCAAGAGGTCCCACACCTACAATACCTTTGACCACAGACAATTTCCCATGCCTGGCAGGCCTCTTGGGGTAAGAGACAACAGCACTGTGACTCTGCGGGTTGTCTACAAAGATTGAAAACATATTTTTTTTATTAAAAAGAAAAGCTCCTAAAAGGAGCTTTCCCTAGTGGTTTTTAAAGATGAGTTCTGTTGGATTGTGACTTATGGATTAGAATATGTGGCAGAAGAAAGAGATTAAGGCAAATTGATTGAGATGATAAATAAATGCAATGTAACTAAATTATTTGATTTTCCCTTTCCTCAAATGTTTTATACTTTAGTTTGAGTAACCATTAATTCCTTCATTATACACAGTTCTTTAATTTTCTTAAATACTGTCTCATTTAAAGTCTTTTCTCCTGGTTTGCTGCTTAAAGTCTTCTGGACAGGGACTATTACATTTTTCCCTTTGTAATACCCCATTGCAGAGCTGGAATATAGCATTAAGCATACAATTAATATATCTTTATTGATCAGTGACTCATGTAATAGGCAAGCTTTAGGGCAATAAATAATCTAACAATTATTTTATAATTTGTAGTATTTAGTTGACATGAACAGTTTTTGCTATTTTTAAGTTACTCAAAATGAAAGTAGTCTTTCCTTTCAAATGTTAAAGTAAAGCTTGTAGAATAACACTTAGCTTAATACTTAGCTCTTCAGTGTTATTATAACAAAATGACAACAAATAGTCAGGCTTACACCATAAACAAAACCCTGACATATAATATTTTTCTGGCTTTTTAATCCAGTTTCTTCAATAATTATCTCTTTGTCATATGGATTATAAGGTTACATATTGGGCCATGTTTCAAAACAATAATACCTTAACCAAAGACTCTATACCTGACCTGGACATACAGAATTAAGTGTCCACAGATCTTGATACAGGTGACAGACAACTGGCCTATGAGCAAGAGATCTTTTGTTTCATTTTCAACCTAGGATACTAGCTATGTATCTGTGGATAAGACATTTAATCTCTATGCTCACTAAATAACATATTCATAAAGGAAAAGTTTTAAACTAGATGACTTTGCAGTTTTCTTCTTATTCTAATATTCAATGATGTATTCAGTGCATATAAGAAAAGGTAACAGTTTGCTCACTGTGGTAAAAGATTAGTGATATTTTAACATAGTTTGGCCAATTACAACACATGTGATATTAAGATGACATTTAATTGATAGATATACATCATTGTCTAACTTTATCATGCTAGATAAAATATAAATATTGAGATTAAATTTCTTTCTGTATCTAAATTCATTGGCAGTCTAACTTCCTAACTTGTCTCAAATATATTCTCTACATACCTGATCACTGAATTATTCCATAATAGGAGAAACTAAGTATATGAAACAAATCTAAGCTTTTACTCACTTTCTTTTTCACAAAATACTCTCCAAATGTTAATGATTAACTCTTATGAAAGTTCTAATGTTAAATGAAATGTAGATGCAGATTTTGTAAGAAAATATCAAAGGGGGATATAAATAAGAAAATAGAATAGTTTCCTTAATTATATTGCATTGGAGATTTCATTTCATTAAAAATAAATTAAACCTAATTTTCTTTTAAGATTTGGTAAAACAAAGCAGTCACACTAATTCTGGAACTGCTGGGAATATCTTTGGAAACAGGATTAAGGAGCTGGTGTAAATTAAAATTGATACTCTGAAAAAATACTAAAAAACTAGTATGATCAAGGCAAGAATGGAAGAATGATAAAGAAGTCCCTCTCTCTCTTTCTCCCACTTGTTGCTCAGGAGCTAGCCTACATCCCTCTACAAAATCAGCTGTCCTTTACTGGCTCTTCCAGACATCAAGCAACAGAATCTAGGGGGAAGTTAACGTTATGTTTATAAACTGATCAAAAGTAAAAAAATATCAATCCAGTTTTCTCCAATATTAGAGAAATTATGGAATGACTTTCCTTGTGGTGAATGTTTGCTTTTCCTGCCTACCTGGTTTAAATTTTACCTTTGACAAGAAGTTGCATAATATAAGGGAATCTCCCTTGGCACTTTGAGTCCCATATTCCTTGCAGAAATGACACTGCCTCTAACTCCAGCTCCCAGCTTGGGACATTGAGTAATTTAATGGTACATTCTTGTTGCCCTGATACATGGATTGGTACAAGATCCAGTCTGGGCTCTCTATTTCACTGAAACTTTGGATAAAGCAAAATTTCTTCTCTGCATGTATTGCTGGAACAATAAAATGTAGATTGAGCTGCTAAAGCCAACTCCAACCTCATGAAGTGGAAATCACTGGTTGCAAGTAAAGACTATACAAAGGAACACAGTCCAGATATGAACTTCTCAATTAAAAAAGAAACTTCCTTTTGTCTAAGCTACTTCAGGTAAGATGGTTCTATCACTTTGCAGATAAAAATTCCTCACTAGCACTCTTTAGATAACTGAGACTTATAACTTTGCATTTCTATCCTTATTATATCTTGCCTTCATCTAATGGACATTGCTTTGATTGTGTTAATTATTGTTAAATGTGAACGTGTTCCAAGGGTCCTTATGATGTACTATAGCTAAACAGTACAAAAATAACATCCACAGGCACACAGCATATGGTTACTGAGAGATTGTCAAATACTTTTAAACTCATTTAACCCAGAATATATTAATAAAACATTTATTAACTTATATAACTTCAATAAATAATATCTGTGGGTGGTCAGCAAATAAATTGGTCTGCTACTAAATTCAAGTTTTACTATATTTAAACTAATCCAAAATTTAACATATTTGAAGTTTTCTGAACATAATTGTTTATTTCTGAAATATGTGACTTATTCAGTAGAATTTCAGTCTTAATAGAAGTATATTAAAGGGAAAAATGCATATGATAGATATGATGAAGTATTAATATAAATACACAGTCTCCAGAGAAAAAAAAACTCCATTGATTTTTCTTGCATTGAAACATAATACTTTTATTATAATGTAGCATAAGTTGAGCTACAATTAATTACATAAAAACTTCCAGCTAGAGTACACCATTATTTACCATAGAACTTGATATAGTATGTGAATTCTGCTAAGACAGGATTTTATCCATATTGTAACTGCTGTAGCTTTTTCAGCTTCAAAAAAACACATGCTCTGCAACACCCATTATTATCTTTTCCTTAGGATGAAGAGAAACCAACCTAGTAATGGAAAGAATTATATAATTGTATATTGGAAACAGTATATATATATATTGGAAAGAATACATAAATATATAAATAAATATAAGAGAGAGAGAGAGAGATGTATATTCTTAGTACCCTGATAGCCTGAGGCTAAAAAACCAATGCTAGACTAATTATCTATACTCCCCCAAAATAAGTATGAAGGCAAAAGATTATTCATGCTACTCATTTCAAGAAAATTAAGGAGGCAAAGCCTAGGAAGTGGATGTCCTTGATGTAGTTTCAATAGTCATTGAGTCATGTTGATCAGCTTGAAACACCAAGAGAAGTGAGATCTAAGTAAAGCATTGAGACAACCAGAAATAAAAAATGTAAGCATTATCATAGTAAGCTTTCCACACATATTATGTGTTTCTTGAAGTCTTGGGCATCCTACATGAGGAGCACCCTAGTGTTTTTGTTAAGAGCTCTGATTTGTGGTTGGTTGTGGCTCTAGGAACTCAGTATCTCTGGGGATAGATGAATGTGAATTGTTATAGGTCTTCAGGAAATTCCTATTCCATTTACTCAGAGCTTAAAGGTGACTGCATCAGCTGCATTGTCCCAACTTTGTATCAACTTTACCTTCAACTTCTTTTTTTTTCCAAATTTTTAAGAGATTTTATTTATTTATTTTTAGAGCAAGGGGAAGGGAGGGAAAAAGAGATGGAGAGAAACATCAATGTGTGGTTGCCACTTTCGTGCCCCTTACTGAGGACCTGGCCTGCAAGCCAGGCATGTGCCCTGACTGGGAATCAAACCAGTGATCCTGTGGTTTGCAGGCTGGCACTCAATCCACTGAGCCACACCAGCCAGGGCTATCTTCAACTTCTAATGAAGACAGCCCAGCCTTATACCCTGATGCTCATGAATCATCCTTTAGAAATCAACTGATATCCCCTGGCTGGCGTAGCTCAGTGGATTGAGCGCGGGCTGGGAACCAAAGTGTCCCAGGTTCGATTCCCAGCCAGGGTACATTCCTGGGTTGCAGGCCAGAACCCCCAGCAACCTCACATTGATGTTTCTCTCTCTCTCTATCTCTCTATCTCCCTCCCTTCCCTCTCTAAAAATAATAAAATAAATAAATAAAATCTAAAAAAAAAGAAAGAAATCAACTGATATCCTTTGTACATCAGCTGACAAAAGTCAAAATTTACTGCATCATGATGCTGTCTATTAGCTAAGAATTCTGCTCTGTCAGTATTAACATCATTGTCTTTGAATGTATTGGAATATATTCAACATGTATTTGAATATTTATTTGCATTTCTCCTTTATTTAGTAAAATAATAGAAGGAACTGAAAACTACATGAGAAAAACACTGTATTTGAAAAAAAGTAAAAAAAAAACACTGTGCATTAAAAAAGTGACACTTTAACCTCATTCTGAATTTTATACTATGTTAAAAAAATAAAATCAACAATTAAAATGCATGCTAATAATATAACTTTCATTTATGGTTAATGGGTAGATATATTTGGTGATTTCATAAAGATTTTGTTCTTAGCATTGAAAATTGCTGTTCCTTTTCTTGACTTTTGTCTATGTTATATTTTATTCCATATGATTTTTCTTAAAAATGTTATGTGAGAAAATGGAGATCATCTGTATATTTAACATTGACACTATTCATTCAGTTATTTACCCATTACGCAAGCATTTACTAATTTTACCGGAGTTCTAGAAGCAGAATATACTGTAGTAACATACCTGAAAAAATACCTGTATGCATACAGTTTGCACTTTAAATTTTAGAATGTAGACATTAAGCAATCAACTGAATATCTGTCAGGTAATTATCAATGTTAAAAAAAGAAAAAACAATAACCAATGTGTAGGGGTTAGGCTACTCCATGATGAGAATACCTTAAGTAGACTCTTGAAAAAGAGTGAGGGAGGGAATGGCTACTGGAGAAAGCACATTCCCTGGACAAGAGCAAAGGCTGTGGGTCTGCCTTTCACAGCATGACTAAGGAACAAGCAGGGAGGCCACCGTGGCTGGAGTAGGATAAGCAAGAGGGCTGAGATTACGATATTAGGGCAGGCCAGGAGACCTGGTCCCACAGCAACTGATAGTCCAAAGTGAGAATATTGATCCTAATTATTCTGGGTGACATGCAAAGCCACTAGAAAATGCAGAATCAAGTGACAATATTTTAAGTTGAATCTTTTTTCAAAGAGTTCTTTGTAACTGATAGGAGAATAGCCTGTGTGATGATATAAGTAGGAAGACTAGTTAATAAACTATTCAAATAATACAAGCTACAGATAATACCAGTTATGTGAGAGTGAATACAGTGGAGATATTGAGAAATGGTTAAATTCTGGATAATTTCTATATTATTTTGAAAAATTTCTGATACATTAGATAGGCTATGTGGAGAGAAGGAAAGATACCATTAAGTTTCCTCTGAACATATCAAGGAAGAGAGTTGCCATTTATTGAGATAAGGAACACAGAATAAAAGGAGAATTTTTAGGTAGGGAGCATGGTATAAAATGTCTCACTGTAAACATGTTAGTGTGATATCCTATTTAACACATAAGTGAAGATAGATACCAAGTAGACTAATAGTTACATGAATAGTTTTTCAGGGAGAGTTGGAATGGAAATATAACTGTGATCAAAATCTAAGTTATATTTAAAATCAGCAACCACATGTGATCACTCTGGTAATTAAAGAAGATAGAGAGGATATTCCAGAACTGATCTTATGATAATGTAATGTTCAAAAATGTCAATGTTGAGAAAATCACCATTGGAAACAGAGAAGAAATAAATGCTAGGTTAACATGCAAAAAAGAATGATATTTTTAAAGCAAGCACAAAGTTAATAAAGGGAGAGTCAAAAATGGCATTCTAGTTACCTAGACTTCTATGCCTAAGTAACCAGAACAGGTGAAGACAATATCTATGACTTGGGAGAAAAGAGATGAACAACTTGTAGTTACTCTGGAGGACAAAACCAAAGATAATACATGTTTTCTTCAAGGCTCACAATGTATTTCATTGTGAACCAGTTATTATCACAAATTATTGATTACTTAGTGTCAGGATAGCAACTGTTCCTTTGACAGCTTTAGGCCATGATTTATGTGACAGATAATGGACAGTAGTATATTAGCTAACACATAAAACTGGATTTTTGCATACTATAGTACTTTTGCTTCAGCTGCACTCTCTTCTCTTCTCTGAATTTGTTATACAAAGATAAATAGGATCACTGTTGATTGTTTCACTTTCAAATGGAATGCTTTTGGTAGTAGTTGGAATATAAAATAGCAATAAGAAAATAATTGTTGGTATTTTAAAATGCAAACCTTGAAGGTATACAACAATAATTTATTTCAAAGGGTAATTCCTGAAAACTTAGATATTTAAATGTAAAATATTAGTAACACAGGTTATAGGATGTGATTGATACATAAATACAAGCTAACTAAGCTGTATTAGACTTCCACTGTTCTCTAAGTGCCATGAATTGGTTGACTTATTCGTTATAGAGGTTGTACATTCTGATTATAAAATCACCAAAATTGGAAAGTATCTCTCCTATCCCCATTGTACATCATAAGATCATATTACATACAGTGGTGGGGATTTTCAATATTAACTTTACAAATGTAAATAGTCCCTTGAGTTTATCAGATTTCCAAGAATTTTATTTAAGATGAAATTTCATTGCTTACCACAGAAGAATAAAGATTGTGAATGAGAACAGTGAGTTAAATTTACTAACCCAGGTTTTTGCATAACTGACTGTGCACCCACACAACTGCAGGCTGGCTAACCCCTGAACATGGGCTCAAACTGCACAGATCCACTTACATGAAGGCCCACCTACACATGAATTTTTTTGATAAATACTCTAAATGTATTATCTCCCTTATCATTTCCTTAAAAACATTTTCTTTTCCTTATTGTAAGAATACAGTATTTAATACATATTATATACAAAAATATGTTAATCAACCATTTATGTTATCGGTAAAGCTTACAGTCAATGACAGGTCATTATAATTAAGTCCTAGGGGAGTCAAAGTTACATGCGGATTTTCACCTGTGCTGAGGGTTGGCCTCTCTAATTCCCATGTTGTTCAAAAGTCAACTGTATTATCTAAAAAAAATAGAATAAAAAAATTTAAAAATTCATCCTTTGTGCATATGTGATATTTTGTTTATCTTTTAAAATATGTAGGGCACTATTGCTAAGGAAGAAGATATTAGTGACTGCAAAGTACAAAAATCAGAAGCATAATGTCTGCCTGAGGCTGGAGTGAAAAGTAGATTTGTTAGGTGTTCTTTGATTCCAGTAGCTCAGAGGTTCTCAACCTGGGGCAGTTATATGCCCCAGAGGCCATGTGTCAATGTCTGCAGACATATATCATTATCACAGTGGAGAGTGTTACTGGCATCTAGTTGGAAGACTCCAGGGATACTGCTAAATATTCTACAATGCCAGCATAGACATCCATAAGAAGGAATTACCTGACCCAAAATGTCAGTAGAGATGATGATGAGAAGCACTGATCTAGTCTTTATCACCCTGATGCCTCCTTTTGTAAATTTCTCTTTCCTCCTCTTTTAACCAGGCTATTAGTCTTTGCAGTCTTTGCAGTCTTTTTGGTTAAGAAACACAAAGATGTTTATTAGATCTCATGAAACCTGTGCTATTTTCTTTTTGGTCCAAAGTTACTCAATCTCTAAACAAACATGCAAAAAAGTAAAAGCAATCCTAAGCCATTTCTTACTTGCTTTCTCATATACTCATATACACACTTGCTTTTTGCGTGTTTTCTTTCTCTTCAGTAGTTCATTTCTTTTCTTAAAAGATTTTATTTATTTATTCTTACAGAGGGAAGGGAGGGAGATAGAGAGAGAGAGAGAGAGAGAGAGACATCAATGTGCAGTTGCTGGGGGTTATGGCCTGCAACCCAGGCATGTACCCTGGCTGGAAATCGAATCTGCAACACTTTGGTTCGCAGCCTGCGCTCAATCCACTGAGCTCTGCCATCCAGGGCTTAGTAGTTCATTTCTAAAAGTGAAAGAATAAACTGATCACATATGAAGGAATATTAAAAAGTCCTAATTTCAAAAAGCATTCAATTGCTGAGTGTTCTTTATAGCTCTTGCTATACTAAATGGGAGTGAGAATCTATAAGATTAATGAAGGTTGCTCAAAGACCCATATTTTCATGCAAATTTTCTAATTGCCTTAAATAACATTAACTTCAAGATTCAGACAGCAAACCTGGAGAAGTAGAAATGATATCATTTCCTTAGATCAAGGGTTGGCAAACTACAACCCAGCCAAGTTCAGCCAGCATCTGATTCTGTAAAGTTTGAAGATCAGTGACAGGATCACTCATTAATATGTTGCTCGTGGCTACATTCCTGACACAGTGCAGATCTGAGTCATTGCAACAGGAACTACATGGCCAATAAAGTGTAAAACGTTTACTCCCTGGCTCTTTATAGGGATAAAATAATAAGTTTGTAACTCCTGTTCTATAATCATGATTTGAAAATATTCAACTGCACCTCCTCAGGCCACAGGAAGCCTGAGAAAACTGGTTTAAAGCCTAAGTGGGTTCTTCCCTTGTAAGGTTTCTGAGTGTGTTTACAGAAACTAAGGACACTGCACAGTTTGAAAATCAATGATTTAGGTCTGTAAGTGTCCAGTAAATACTGCTTTCATAATACTGTTGATAATAAGTATAATAATGGTAATGACAGTGATTAAACCCCATTGACAAAAGCAACAATTAGACATAGTTAAGTTCAAAAAAATACTATTAAGCACCTGTTATGTGGCAGTTTGTGTACTAGAGGAGTGTTTACATGATTCTTTCTCTAGAGGTGTCCATATTTTTTTTCTTTTTTTCTGGGATTAGTACTATTTTTATTGACCTTAGAAGCCTACATTTTAATATACAATAGTTAAATATATAGTTTTGACAGTGAATTACCAGTGAAGACATGAATTAATCCTTGTGCATCTCTTCCTGCTCCTTTTAGTGCTAACATATATTTAGAAAACATGCTATACTTTTCTTTTTTTAGGAGTTCCTTGTTAAGAGGTTTTAAAACCTGGTTTGGGGTTAGGCCCTTGGGAATTTTGAACTGCTCTTGTTTGATCCTTTCCTTGTAATTTATTTGGTATTCTTAATACTGTGATAAGAATGCTGAGTCATATAATACATGCTTTGAATGATTATCATCACTAGGGATTTCTGAGAAGAAAACAAAAAACAAATGTAAATTAGGTGCGAGAATGTATTGAAAGTGTGTGATCTTTTATGAGAAGATGGATGTTCAAGTCCAAGCTCTCAACTGCACATTCATCCCCCAGACTGTTTACCCAAACCTCTACTCTTAGTATTCTGAGCTTAGCAAATAGCAACCACATCTACCCAGTCGCTCAGGACAAAGAGTCTGGCAGCAGTTCTCTCTCTTTCTAAACCCAATCCATCATCAGTCCTATGAGAGAACCTCCTAACAATTTACTCCTCCTACACTCTGATCCAACACGCCTTTCCTAGTCCCCTGCAATAGTCTCTGATTGCTTTCTATGTTTTTACTCTTGCTATTTTCTACAAAGCAGGGTGAGGTTTTTTTTTAATTATATAATCCACTCTCTTTCTAATATCTCTCACTATCTTCATGACTCAAATAAAATCCAAGCCTTTACCCTGAATCATAAAGTTCTAAGAGACTGAAGAGACTAGACTCTGCCTACCTTTCTCACCTCGTGTCACCATCTTTATTTCCCTTTGGTGCACACAAGAGAGGCTGGCCTTCCTTTTCTCCTTGCTGGGAGATTTGGTCATTTTAGCCTGTCTAGTCTCTCTTCTGGGGCTGTGATTTATCTCAAACTTTACTGTATATATTCCTTCTAAGTAGTTTAAATGGAGATGGAGGAATTTTAGCATGATTTCTGCTGTGGAAGTAGCAATAAGTTTAGTATTTGTACTATTTTTATTGGCTTTATGTATACAGCACATTTTAACATGTCATTTTCTCAGAGCTGTCTTCCCCGTCAATCTTCCAGGCATCCATTATGGAATGTTTTTTTTTTTTAATTTTCTTCATTGAGATAGAATTTACATAGCATTATATTTTTTTAATTCAATGACTTTTGGGAAATATATACAGGTATGTAAACATCACTTTGGATAAGATATAGAGCATTCCCATCACCTTTGAAACTTATTTTGAGGACCTTTGCTATCAATGAAACTGTCCCCACTTTGAACCCATGGTAATCAATGATCTGCCTTCAAATAAATGAAATCAAATCACATGCAATCTTTTGTGTCTAATTCTTTTATATGTCATTATTTTTATAGATTCATCTATTTTGTTAAATGAATCTGAAGTTCATTTCCTTTTGTCACTTTTTATCCATTAGATATATATACTACCAATTTGTTTATCCATTTGTTAGGTGGTTGACTTTTGAGTTGTTTTCTAGTTTTGGCTAGTACAATCAGGTTGCAATAAACATGTAAATCATTGTCCTATGACAGAAGTTTTTATTCCTGTAAGAGGGGTTGTGGAGTTGTACAAGGAAGGGTATGTGTAACTTCGAAAGAGTCTTCTGAAGTGTTATACATTTGATTTCTTGTTCATCTTGTGCATATGCTTTTTTTCCTGCTGAAAAGTAAGTTCTAGCTCAAGTAACTTTGTATCTTGATCACTGCTCTCTCCTCCATATGATAGTAGCACTGGTGCATGGGAACGATGTGTGCTGATTTATGGATGAATACATAAAAATGGAATATTAAGACATAAAAATAATAAAATCTTGTCATTTACAACAATATGGATGAACCTTGAGGGAATTATACTAAGTAAAATAAGTCAGAGAATGAATGTAACAGGCAATGAATATATTATATTTATATAAAGCTATCTATATTAATCTTAGTAAATACTAAACATGCTTGTTAATCTAATCTCATTTTTTTCTAAAAACTAGAACTCAAATGTTAAAAGTTTCTTTTCTAATTACACTTTACAGTTCAGCAGCTACAGTTCCTTTGTGAGAGTAAGGAGCAGCCTGACCTCTGAAATTCCAAGGATGGAAAACCAGAGGGTAAACTCAAGGATGCTGAACATGAAAATCCATATTGGAACCAGCAAGGATACTGCTTGCACACCCACAGCTCCTCCCTGAACTCCTGTTTCTCTCTCCCACCAGCACCTGCATGTCTGTACTCTCTGGGAAGTTTTCCTTTCTCAAATTCCCACCAACTCCCTATAAGAATCTCTGGCTTGACCAGAGATGGCAAGCTTGGCTTTGGGACTAGAGTCCTCCATCTTCCAGGTTATCAGCATCTGAAATAATCTGCTTTCCTTTCTCACTAGCACTTGTCCCATGTTTTGGGCATTTACTGCAGCAGGCGGCCAGACCTGCATTTGATTACATAATGAATATCACATGTTCACTCTTATATGTGAAATTTTTAAAAAAATCAAGAAATCAAGCTCATAGATACAGAGAGCAGATTGGTGACTGCCAGAAGTGAGGGGTGGAAGTGGATAAAGAGGGTGAACTGTATGTTATTTTTATTTTTTTAGTTTAAATAAATTGAGTAGTTTTTAAAAAGTATTGATGCATAGTAATCTCTCAGTAATTTAGTTCTGAATGAATATACCATATACATGACCTTGAATAATTGTTAATCCTTGTAAGTCTGTTTCCTCATATATAGATATGTAAGTACCTCTATATAGAATAAACATATATGAGGTCTGTCCAGAATATATGCAGTCATGTAATATGAAAAATAGAGACATTTATCAAAGAAGATAAAAGATACAAGAAACATTCTATGTAGGACAATAACACCTCAGTAGCCTTCAAAGTAGGCACTTTGGGGCCTCACACAATTCTCTCAATTGCCATCAGCTGCCCTGTCACATTTTCCTGAATCTCAAGATGGTCTGAAATCTCTTCCCTTTCAAAGGTGATTTTAGTTTTGAGAAAAGTGAGAAGTCACAGGGTCCCAAATCTGGGCTGTACAGGGGCTGAGTTACCTGGGTGATTTGATGTTTTGCTAAAAAACTCTGCATGAGCTGTGATGCATGAGTTGGCATGTTGTTGTTGTGAAGCTGCCAATCACCATTTGCCCATAGCGGAGGCCTTCTGAATCATATGAATAGTTTCCTCAGAGAAATGTTCAAGCTTAACACAAAATTTGATGCAGGTTTGTTACTCTAATTGCTCATTCATTTTGAACATGATGGCCACACAGTACACATGCTCTCAGAGGCACCTACCATCCCCAGTGACTAGTACAGTGAAGTCATCATTGTTCACACATGCACATTCCAGTCTACTCTCCTTGGCTGCCAGGTTACATCGGTGTCACACAAACTGTTCTCATATTAACAATGGCTTGACTTTTTCCAGACAGACCTCATGTAAACAATAAAAGAGTAGTATTTAATCTCCCTATGATTTATAACTGTTATATCTTTTTATAAAAAAATTAACACAGCCTAAAAAACAGCAAGTGTTCTACACTTCTTAATTCTTTCTGTAAAGAAAAACACATCAGTATTGCTATGGCTGATTGGCTAAGGATGAAGTGAATTTGTTTAGTTATTTTAAAAATGTTTTTATAACATTATTTATTATATTAGTCTTCTGCTGAAGTAGGTTTCATGAATTAATTATAGCTTGAAGAAAGATATACTAAAAACAATAAATCCTTAAATTGCTTCTTGAGAGGTTTAGAATGTACAGCTTATCAGGTCACTCCATCACGGATAACTGCCCTACCCAAATTCATTTCTTAAATGTATTTTTTAAATATCCTAGTTACAAGTAATATTTTTAAATTATTAATTTAGGACCAATTGGGGCTTTCTATACATATGAGATCAATGTTTTTCCTAATTTATTTTGTAAAGATTCCTCATTTTTCCTTTAAAAACATTTGATTTAGTGATTTCGGAAAAGGACTTTGTGAAGCTCTGCTTGTTAACCCCAGTGATTAGGGTGTGAAGGGGGTGGTGGGAGGGAGAAGAGGGTAGAAGGGGATAAATAGTGATGGAAGGAGACTTGATTTGGGGTGGTGAACACACAATAAAATATACAGATGATGTGTTATGGAATTGTACAACTAAGCCTATATAATTTTATTAACCAATGTCACCCCCCAAAATTCAATAAATAATATTTTAAAAAGATGTAACTGTTAATCATTCTGCAACTACTCTGTGCTCAGCTTTAATGATTTTTCGTTTAAGCATGGGAGGTGGGTATGAGGGTGGGCTTGTGTTAACACAGATGTAAAAGCAAATCTTTAAATATTTATTTCAAGGAGCCAGTCAGCTATTACAAAGACTGTACCCTCATATGTCATTAAAAGTGGTTTGAGTTTAATTACACTTGGAATGCTCTCAAACAAAATATAAAACCCTCTTTACTCTTCAGAGCAGTGACCTTCAACGGCACATTACTCAGCAATGCCCTGTGTAAATGTCAAGTGGAGAGGCACATGGACTGCAGGATGTGGTGCCAGATTTCATTTTCCTGTTCTTCATAATAGTGTGCTGTGGATGTTCTGGACACTTTGTTATTTAGGTTTCATGTACAGCTTAGTGGGATGGAGAAAGGATATTTGCTATCGGGCCAAAATTACTGATCCTTTTTCACTTTCTCCACTGTCACTGTGGTGACAGACACTTGAAAGGAGAGGTTACAGCCAGGTGCCACACACCTCTGCACAAACTAGTACTAAGTGGGGAAATTGCTGACATACCACTTGACATAGTTTCTTTTTTTACTATCTTTCCATTGATGTTTTACCAGTACAACAAATATTCCAGGAATTCCTGCTTCTTCTTTAGCTGTAATCAATGTTCCTGACTTTTACCTCAGCTGAGAGGTATCTCCATCATATTTCCCTAATAGCACCCTATCCTAGACATCACCCTGTCACTATTCACCAATCCTTGCTTTTATCTTTAATCATCACAATCTCATAAATATTTGTTCAAGGCCCAGTATTATATCATCACTATGTTAAATGCTCATGGCAAATAGTAAAAAGGCCAACTAACAGATAACTTCTTCCATGAAGGGGCATGTAGTGAAGTGGGGGACAGATTATTTCAGTACAAAGGGGAAGAGATAATATAAAGGGACGAGCTCATATTAGATTCACCTATGAAGTCTTCAAAGTTCCCCAAGTCAACTCTTCATCCCAGGTCAATTACATGGAAGTTTCTAGTTGTGAACAGAGGTGTTAGAAGATTCCTCACTCCACCAGATGATTCCAATTTGCAAATAAGATTGAAGACCTCTGAGGGTTGTGTATACCAGGTGCTAGTTAGCCAAAGATTTGATAAGGACTTTGTATACAGGGGTGCTAGAGCTGAGCCACAAGGGATGCATGAGCTGTCTTGGCCATGGAACAGGATGACAATTCTAGACATAGGAAATACTATGAGAGGTGTGGTCCATAAATCCATCAGCTTATCTAAAATGTTGACAACTTTTTAACAAATGAGCTTTGGAAATAATTCTTGTGTTCTTTTCTTGGTATTTTTACAGCATGAGTCTGTAGTTATTAGTAGATGAAAAAAGTGAGGGAAAGTAGTTTAAGTGATATGGCATAGTATGCAATAGATGCTATAAAATGTTGACTTATTGCACAGACTTGAAATATCAAAAATATTTATTAAAAATAGTTTTGGAATCCTTCAAAGTGATGCTATAAAAGAGTTCTAGTCTATTGCACTGTATATCAGAATAAAGTAAACTTAATTATTAACTGGATATTGTTGCCATAGGGACAGAAAGAAAATAAATAATCTCCACATATTCACATTTTTGCTCTGTATATATCTGGGAAGCACAAACTTGGGCTTTTAAAATAATTTTCTGTTTATACAGTTGGATGTTTGGTTTATATTTCAATAAGGCTGAGTTTTGATTTGTTTGTTTTTTCCTGTGAGGAATAGAGTAAGGATTTGCAATGTGAAAAGTTTATTTCTTTTACAAATGTACTTAAATGCACTTACTTCAATGTACATAGGTTTCTACAGAAAAATACAGGTATTTCTTTTCAGAAAGAAGAAAGTAAATCATAAGTGATTTCTGAATAAAATCCCATACAATAAATCTCTTTATGTGAACAGAACTGTGTATATGTCATAAACATAAGCCTTTACATATTATTGTGCAGAGCATTAATAATGATTTAAATTTTCATATGCTTCTCCCTATGATTTTTTTAAGTATTGAAGAACAAACAGTAATTCAATAGATGAAAAAACTAGAACTACAAATCTTACAGATCGAAGTCAGACTATATCCCACACTGCAAGGGTGCAATCTAAAAAAGAAACATTTTTCTTTTGTTTATTTGGAAGTTAAGCTTCAAAAGGTGTGGAATGTCAGGAATTTAAACAAAACCACTAGATGGCTCCCTATATCCTGAACAAACATCAGAAAATTTAGGGTAATGACAATTTTGAACCTGGTGTTACCATGGTGACCTGCTCAGCTTGTTCTGGTTGCTTTCCCCTAGGCCATTTGCCCTCTATTCTTTCAAAATACATATGTATTATCCTTTTATTAACATGGTTGTATATTGTGCCAATACAAAGAATAATAAGAAATGCACCAATTACCTTTAGAATCACTGCTATGTATAATGCTCTATGCTAGTAGCTATAAAGGTCATTAAAATGGAAGTTTAAGCCATGGTATTTGCCACGATGAAATTTAAAATCTGATCAAACATAATAGATGAAGATTAAGAAACAAAAGCAAATAAACTAGTAGTAGTAGGAAGTAATTGACTGTGTTTTAAATAGGGACCCTTCTTGGTAAGTATGTTTGATGGTTCTTTAATTGTGTCATTAATTTGTTCTGCTTCTTAAGATTTGTATATATATATATATATATATGTATATGTATATATATTCAGTTTTTTCAAACACATGGATTGGATAAAGTACAATATATAGTCCTATTCAATTTTAGTATACCATTTTCTAGTGTTATAGGAATGGTATGAAAGATTAACTAGGCCATGATAGTCAAAAAGTGCATACGTGTATCTGGCTATGTATATCATATTGAAAAATGTAACTTCTGAATAGACAGTATCTGAAGAGGGAAATAAAAGAAGAAAGCCTGTCCCAACTATCACTCTGACTTGACTCTGAGCCCATTTACGTGCGTGTATCTCTGCAGTTAAAGTGTTTGCATGAAAAATGCACTAAGAACACAGGAAGGACAGTGGTATGTCCCTGGTACTATAAGTAAGGCTATTATACTATGAGTTATACCAATAAAATGAAAACATTAAAGTTTAAACCTATCTACTATAAAAGTGCCTTTAAATTTTAGGCATCTCATAAGCCAAAACCAAAGAGAAATTTCAGGAAACATATCTTGTGAAAAAATACACAGCTAGCTCTGCTTTTCTCAGCAGCCTGCACGAGGACTGCCTACATCAGACTCGGCTGGGTGTGCGAGCGCTGGAGGCTCCTGACTCCACCTGAAACACTGTGGTGCTCTGTAATTTTTCAGCTTCAAATTTTTCACTCCCTGCAATTTTTGAATAAAGAGTTGAGTACATGAGCAGG